AACCAGATGAACTAAACCAGATGAACTAAACCAGATGAACTGAACCAGATGAACTAAATCAGATGATCTAAACCAGATGAACTAAATCAGATGATCTAAACCAGATGAACTGAACGAACACGAGAGCCAAGTGCGCACAAGTTGGCACCTTGTGTAAAATGTACATTTAAACAAAATGCAACTATTTGCTAACCTCATAAACTCATTATTTCATCCACAGTGATGCACCGTTAACATCAAATGTTTAAACTAACACATTATACCATTTTAAAATGAACAGTGAAGCCAAAACAAACAAAAGTAACTAAATCATGTAAAAGTTCTATGAAAGCAACTCGTGTCAAAGCTGAAGGTTTGAATAAGAAACATCTGGAGTTGCATTTTTAAATCCAGCTAAGTGTCTAATTAAGTCTAATTAATCAACAGGTGAGTCAGAGGTCTGGGTATAAAAAGAGACTTTTAGAGAGGCTGGATCTTTTAGAAGTAAAGATGGGCCGAGGTTCACCAGCCTGGGAACAACTGTGTCTACAACTATTTAACAAGGTTCTCAACAGAAACGCTGTGAAGACGGCGAATCTCCCAGTGGTCCGCTCAGGGGCCAAATTGTTAAAACCAGGTCTGGTTCTGTTCTGGACTCAGGAACTCTTCCACAGATCATTGTCTGTAAACACAGTTCATCCATAAATGCTTCTTAAAGCTCCATCAGCCAAACAAGAAGTTGTATGTGGACACCACCCAGAACCACAGCTGTCTTCACTGGACCAGAGCTCGTTTCAAATGGACTGAGGTGAAGAGAACTGATCTGAGGTCAGACGGGTCCAAATTTAAGGTCCAGGGACACCAAGTCTCTGTACCACAGACGAGAGGGAACATTCAGCCTGCCATCAGCTCGCAGGTCCAAAGCCTGCCTCTCTGATGGGATGGGGGTGCATTAGTGCCTCTGGCATGTGCAGCTTACACATCTGGAAAGGCTCCATCAGTGCAGAAAATAAGGAAAGCACGACAGTTTAGTGGTTAGCACTGTTGCCTCGCAGCAAGAAGGTCCAGGGTTCAATCCCCGGTTAGGGTCGGGGTCTTTCTGTGTGGAGTTCTCCTCATCTTTGCCTGAATTTTCTCCCACAGTCCCAAACAACAACAAACATGTGGAGTGTATTGAGATCTGTAACCTCAATAGGATGTGTCTGGTTAAATAAAGGTTAAAAAAATCTTCATGTTTTAAAACAACTATATCTATATATATATATATATATATATATATATATATATATATATATATATTTATATATATATATATATATATATTAAAAACAACAATCAAAGAAGATCCAGGAGTTTAGAGCAGCCAGAGTTCTCCATGAGACCAGAACATCCCCTCCAGGTTTAACATTTCATAGAATGACTGTGTTGCTCTGTAAATAAAATATGTCTTTAAAGACTGACAGATCACTGCGTCCTGTTCTGGACTTCACGTACGAAACAAGATCAAAATTACAAACCAGGAAACGGTCAGGGCACCAACAAACCCAGACTGAAGCAGTCCTCTGTTGGACCGCCTGCACCTGGACCTCTCCTTATTGCTGTGAAGCTAAAAACCCAAGATCAATAAGTCGTGCTGATGATGTGCACCGTCTGTTCTGCTGAGCATTTTGTCTCGGGTCCCAGAGCTCCAGAAAGTCTTCGTCTTTTCTCTTCAGATATTTCAGCGTCTTTGAATCACGGATAAAACAGTGAGACATGCAGAGCGACATGCAGAAAGACATGCAGTGAGACATGCAGAGAGACATACAGAGGGACATGCAGAGAGACATACAGAGGGACATGCAGAGAGACATACAGA